TCAATTCAGACCCACTGCGTTGGTGTTGATTGAAAGTCCAGGCCTGGACCTACAATAAAACTCTCTGTGCTTTACAATGGTATTGGCTCCTTGGTGGTCATTGGGGACAACTGAACTGCGCATAACAATACCTGTGAGTTACCCAAGGAGATGGAACAGCATAAACAAGTGAGACAAACTCCTTCCCATTTCAACAGTTCAAAATCTCCCGAGTGAATACTCCATTCTAACAGTGAACACTCGGCTGAGTCCTCACATTGAACCAAAACTGCACCAGGTTCTCCTGGGTGGAGAAGTCAGCTGTGTCCTGGTGCATGCAGCCCCTCCCAGAGCCTTCACAGCAGCTGAGAGGACAATGATAAACATTGCTTGAGTAGCACCGAGTTTCAAATACCCCACTTAGAGTGCTGAGACACAAGAACCTCATGTTACCCAGTATTTCTCTCATTTGCAGAAAGGTTCGGGAAGCCCAGTATCTGGTATTTTGAAGACCTGGTAACTGAGTGATACACACTTCTCAAAATTACTCACCTTACACAGTGGCTTCCTCAAATCTGATGATGTAAATGTCAACCAGCTCCTAGTCAGAGAAAAACCTTACAGAACTAAACTAGTCAATGTGGTCATTCAGCCTGTCTTGTAGCTGGGGTGCATGGGCATCTCAGGGCATGAAAGCCAAATCTTCCTGAAGACGTTGTATGCCCTGGAGTGAAGCAGGGCCAGAGGAGAGAGGGAAAGAGGCCAGGAGTGGGCACGTTTTCCGTGGAACCAGAGGAGCAGGTGTAGGCAGGAGTGTGGAGTTACATCTTGTCTGCATGAGGCTGAGGGCCAGTCCCTAACAAATAGGGGACCCCTTAAAATAGATGGAGGCAGACAGCTTGAGGAGCTAGAGATGAAGCAGCCTGGGTCCTTAACTGCTCAGTGAAGATGGTGCAGAGGAAGCTGACTGAAGCTAAACACAAGGAGACCCAGCCACAAATAGAGAGCTTGCATCATGTTGGAGGACCAGTATTCCCACCTGGAAGGGCATTCAATGCCAGACCACTCCTCCCTGGGGCATCTTTGTCCCTAGCCTGCAATTACACAGCTCCTGGAAATCTGACAAACTCCTTTCTCTGACTCTATCTGTAACTCAGTCCTTCAGCATACAAAGAGTTGAAATAATGAAACTGCCCCAGGTAAATCAGGTTGCAGGCACCTGCAGTGCCATTGAAATCTTCTCCTGCTTGGTTCTCAGCATTGCTTGGGAAACATCTTTCCTTCCTTTACACTTCCAATTCTTATGCATTCTTGTCTTCAAAGAATAAAGAAAAAAGTCCAAACTTCCTAAGAAGCATGTCTTGAGGAAAACACTACAGGAGGGGCCCTGTGCCATCACTGGCCTGTGCAGTGGGGATGGAATCCCCTTCCTTTAGCCCTTGATGCATTAGAAGAGAACTCTGTGCATCACAAAGCATTTAAGGTATAAATTGAAACAACCAGGAGCAGCAGGAAAATCAAATCTCTGGGTAAATGGCCATGGCAAACCCTCCTCTCCATTTCTCAATATTCCTGCGGGTATCACCCCCCACCCTGGGTTCTGCCACATGACCCACGTTTGCCTCATTGGTGCCAGATTGGAGTTCAGGGATCCTTTCTAACACTCTGACCCAGGCTGGAATCCATGAGAATCTCCTAGGAGGTCTACCTGCTGTTACTGGAGGAATGGCCCTGGGGTTCTTGTCTTCATGCAAGACAGAATTCAGGCAAGAGACAGAGAGCAGAGTGATAAGGCTTTATTAGGTACACAGCATCCATCAGAACAGAAGGGACAGAGCACCCATTCTCGCGAATGGGGGGGAGGCAGAGCAAGGTTACATGGTTGAGTGGAGAGAATACACCTGGGCAGGCCAGGCAGATGGCTCAGCAGAAAGGAAAGAGCTAAGCTCCCTGTCTGTTTGGACTCCCCAGGTTTTTAAGGGAGTCTGTTTACCCACCCACCCCCCTCCTTCAGGACAAAGGATGGGGAGTCCTGGCAGAAGAGTTTGTTGGGTGAAAGTTAGCAAATTCCTCCCCAGATCTGCTGGCTCCTGGGCAGAGTAGGGGGGCTTCCCTTAGGGCATCTGAGAAGGTTTTATTGCCCCATGTTATCAGGTCAGGTAAGGCCTTTGGTCCTGAGGAGAGAATTCTCCTGGGAGCTTTCCTTGGGGAAGGGCTGGGACCACTTGGGAGGTTATCAGGTTCTGAGCAGGACTTTGAAGTGCAAGATGCTGGGCTTCTGGGGCTTCCTCAGTAGTTGCTGGTCTTCAGGCCTGTCTCCACACACAGGTTCAATTTCTGACTTGCTACCTAACACTGCTGCAGTGTTTCTCCCTACAGCCCACCCTCTGCTAGAACACACTCTCTGCTTGCAGGTCATGATCTGTCTTTCCTTTGCTTAGAACTTCAGCAGCTGCTCTCTGCAGTTTGGGTGAAGGTCCAGCATTGGCACACAGCATCCTGACCTGGCCCCCTGAGTTTTCATTCTTGCCTTCTCTGCCCATCACGAACACTCCCAGCCTTCTGAACTCACTGCTCCTGTTCTGTGCAGTGGTGCCTGCTCTTCCTGTCTGGAAGTCTCCCCACGGGGATTTTTCTATGTCTAAATCATACTTTTGCTCAAATGGAACCTCCCAGAGGTTGAATGCCACAGCAAGTATAGCCATACACCTATTTCTTTTATTCTTTCTTTCTTTCTTTCTTTTTTTTTAAAGATTTATTTATTTCTTTGAAAGGCAGAGTTACAGCGAAGCTGAGCCAATTCGAAGCCAGGATCCAGGAGCTTCTTCCGGGTCTCCCGTGTGTGTGCAGGGTCCCAAGGACTTGGGCCAACTTCTGCTGCTTTCCCAGGCCACAGCAGAGAGCTGGATGGGAAGTGGAGCAGCCAGTCCTTGAACCAGTGTCCATATAGGATGCCAGGACCACAGGCAGCACCTTTACCTGCTGCGCTACAGCGCCGGCCCCCATAAACCTATTTCCAGTGTTCCGCTATGTTGTTGTATGTCTTTTTTTTTTTTTTTTTGACAGGCAGAGTGGACAGTGAGAGAGAGAGACAGAGAGAAAGGTCTTCCTTTGCCATTGGTTCACCCTCCAATGGCCTCCACAGCCAGCACGCTGCGGCTGGCGCACTGCGCCGATCCGATGGCAGGAGCCAGGTGCTTATCCTGGTCTCCCATGGGGTGCAGGGCCCAAGCACTTGGGCCATCCTCCACTGCAATCCCTGGCCACAGCAGAGAGCTAGCCTGGAAGAGGGGCAACCGGGACAGAATCCAGCGCCCCAAGCGGGACTAGAACCCGGTGTGCTGGCACCGCTAGGCGGAGGATTAGCCTAGTGAGCCGTGGCGCCGGCCTGTTGTATGTCTTGTATATATCACATTAAATTATGAGCTACAGTTGTTTTTTTTTTATTTGAAGTAAAGTCTACATACAAAAAAGTACTAAATATCCAAAAACCTTGAATTTCATGAGTTTTCTCAATCTCAGCACTGGGTGTGCAATCAGCATTCACATCAGGAAAGAGAAAACCAAGAGCTCCTGAAACCTGCTCACACATCCTCCAGCCGCCGGCCCCCCCAGGCACAGGGTAGCTCTGTTGGGTCTGCATTGATTCAGCTGTAGTGTTTATGAGCCGTTTTCTCAGTGCAGCAGTGGGTTGTGGTCAATCCATGTTGTTGCCAGTAGCATCAGAACATCCAGCTTTTCTGAGTTCATACAGCACAGCTCAGGGACTCCCTTCACCATCAGCACATTTGTGCATTTCACCTGCCACCACACCTATTTTGGTTGACATTATACATGGATGGTCTTGCCCAAGGATGACTTGCAGGGCTCTGGATACAGAGATGCCCAGCTGTGGTCACTGCTGCCACACTCAGTGTGTGTGGGATTTATGTGTTTTTTTTATCTGCTTTCTTTCCTCACTAGAATGCAAATTGTTTGAGTGCAAGGGCATTGTCAGTCTTGCTCACAGGTGTGAAGAATCAGTGGACACACCAGTGAGTGCATGGATGAGGACACTGAAGGGCAAAGGGTCCAATCAACCATGTCCTCGAAACTGGCAGCCTGGTGCACTCATTCACCAATGTGCTGCTAGTGAAGTCCTCAGGGCGCTCGTTCACGTTGCTGGCCTCTGGAAGTCCTTGTGTCTCTGAAGCCCACTGCCCTCACCCCTGAACTGGAACTCACAATGAGTAGAGACTGTGGGAGGATGAGCAGGCACTACTGAGGCTTTGAGAGATTGATTAGTCTACTTATGTCATGACCATGGTTGTGTCTGGTGCCTGCATGAGCTCCTCACATATCAATGGTGAGAACCGACATGGTCTGTTCCTTCTTGTCCCCTATCAGTTCATGGACCAACAGCGGCATCCCCTGGCTGGTGCAGCCTCCGTTTTGAAGGCATTGGACATCTTTGAAAAGCATTTCACTATGTTCCCACCCTAAGGCCCTGCAGGTTTCTCCAAAGCGCTAGAAACACCTGCTCACCCCCGCCATGGCATACCACACTCTCACATTGGTTTCTCTTGGCCATGCTCCTTGCTCTCATACATCATTTTTTACTTATCTGACAAATAGTTTTCACTCACACATTGCAAACAAAACTCAGATGCCCTTTTTGACTGAAAGCAACAAGCACAGAATGGTTTTACTGACTCCGATGGCTGTTTGAGAGAACTGTGCCTAGTGACTCTGCGCCTACCACGCTGGCAGAGCGTGGGAAGCAACACAACCTTCTCCCATTGAGGTTGGGCCAAAGACGGAAACAGTGGTCTTCGCCTGACCACAGAGGAGGAGCCAGGCTTCTGGAGTAGTGACCCAAGTCCCCACACAGCCATCCTCCCTCCTGCACGTCTTGATGCCGTCCATGCCACTGAAACTTCCGTGAGACTTCCTGTCCTCCAGGAGGTAGAGTTCTAGAACAAAACTTTCTAATCCTTTTTTTTTCTGGAAATCAGCAGGCATTCATTTTGGAGATGTATGAATGGAGCAATGAAAGGAAAGGGATAAGAAACAAAGTAGAGAGGGAGAGATGTCATGAGGACAGTTTTTTTTAGTGTTAACGTTTACCCAGTCCCTTGTTGAACTCTTCTTTCCTGTTTCCACGTTTGATGCTGGTGTGGTTGCTGGGACCGCGGTCCTAGTTGCTGTCTGCATGGGCAGGCACAGACATCAGAAGTTGCCTCCTGCTACACTTTGAGAGCCTTTGATTCTACCCAGTGCCCGCTGCAGTGCTCCCATCACGTCCTTGTTCCACAGACTGTAGATGAGGGGGTTCAGCAGCGGGGTGAGGATGGTGTAGAAGGCAGACAGCACCTTGTCCTGGGCCGGGGTGTGGTAAGAGCGAGGCAGCATGTAGGTGTACATGGCGGCCTCGTAGAACAGTGTGACCACCATCATGTGGGATGAGCAGGTGGCAAACGCCTTCTTCCTCCCCTCCACCGAGCTCATGCGGTATACGGTAGTCAGTATGCGGGCATAGGAAGCAATCACCACAGAGAACGGGATCAGCAGCATCAAAACACAGCAGGCGTACATGACAGTCTCATAGAGGGCTGTGTCTGCACATACCAGCTTCAGGACTGCAGGTGCCTCACAGAAGAAATGGTTGATCTCCCGGGATCTGCAGAAGGGAAAGCTTATGGTAATGGGGGTGAGGAGGAAGCCGTACAGGGAGCCCCCAAACCAGGAGCCCGCTATGATCATCCAGCAGACCCGGCGGCTCAGGAGGACAGGGTATCTCAGCGGGTTGCAGATGGCGACATAGCGGTCATAGGCCATGAGCCCCAGCAGGAAGAACTCGGCCCCGACAAGGGTGAGGTAGAGGAAGTGCTGGGCTGTGCACCCCACGAAGGAGATGGCCCTCTGGCCACGCACGTGGTCCACCAGCATCTTCGGCACAATGGAGATGTACATCATGTCAATGAAGGACAGGTGGCTGAGCAGGAAGTACATGGGGGTGTGGAGGCGGGGGTCAGTGTGGATCAGGAGGATCATGATCCCATTGGCTGTCAGTGTGGAGAGGAAGATGATGGAGATGATGGTGAAGAGCAGGCCTGAGGTTTCCTCACTGCCGAATAGCCCCAAAAAGGTGAAGTCTGTGGAAGTCATGTTGGACCTGTCCATGACTCACAGCAGTGCTTAGGGAGTCCAGAATTTTCCAAATGACATAGTAGCATTCCAGGGAATCAGAATGACAACACAGAGATTAATGTCAGGCAGCAAACTTCTAAAAGTTAAAAGAGAACATTTAAAAATATTTTCTTGGTACGTGGGAACTGATACCTAGCAACTAGTCTATGCCACATTTTTTTTGGTAAAATAGGCCATTATTATCTGATACTTCTTTCCACACATTGGACAAGATGTCAGCTGCTGTGCTACAATGATGCTTGTGACAACACCTGAGCAAGTGCACACGGGAGTCGGTGGTTTGTCAGTGTGTATGTGCATGTGTGTGCTACCTTAAATGCATACATGCGTACACATGCATGTGCCACATTGGATGCATCTGCATGCATTTCTTTGTGTCAGCATCACCATCACCTTCAAAGCTCCCTTAATTTTGACTGTGGGCAGTCTCTCTGCCATGAGCCCAGTGCATGAGTAACCTTCCCCTTGGGCCTTGAGTTGCTGTCTCTATCACAAGATTTTGCTTGGTGTTAGTTCATCTCTATTGCAGACAGAATGGATGGCATGAAATGAGCTGAGCAATGGAGGCTACTCTTTTTTTTTTTATCTTTTATTTAATGAATATAAATTTCCAAAGTACGACTCATGGGTTACAATGGCTTCCCCCCCCATACCGTCCCTCCCACTCACAACCCTCCCCTTTCCCACTCCCTCTCCCCTTCCATTCACATCAAGGTTCATTTTCAATTATCTTAATATACAGAAGATCAGCTTAGTATACCTTAAGTAAGGATTTCAACAGTTTGCTCCCACACAGAAACATAAAGTGAAAAATAATAGATGATTTTTTTTAAATGATGATGAAATCAGATCAGACCTATTGTCATGTTTAATCCCAGTGAGAGTCAAGTTGGGAATTGATAATTTCTTTTTTCTTTTTTTTTTTTTTACAGAAGATCAGTTTAGTGTACATTAAGTAAAGATTTCAATCGTTTGCACCCCCATAGAAACACAAAGTGAAATATACTGTTTGAGTACTCATTATAGCATTAAGCCTCAGTGTACAGCACATTAAGGACAGAGATCCTACATGAGGAGTAAGTGCACAGTGACTCCTGTTGTGGACTTTACAAATTGACACTCCTGTTTATGGCATCAGTAATCTCCCTATGCTCCAGTCATGAGTTTCCAAGGCTATGGAAGCCCCTTGAGTTCTCCGACTCTTATCTTGTTTAGACACGGTCATAGTCAAAGTGGAGGTTCTCTCCTCCCTTCAGAGAAAGGCACCTCCCTCTTTGAAGACCTGTTCTTTCCACTGGGATCTCACTCACAGAGATCTTTTTGCCAGAGTGTCTTGGCTTTCCATGCCTGAAATACTCTCATGGGCTTTTCAGCCAGATCCGAGTGCCTTTAGGGCTGATTCTGAGGCCAGAGTGCTATTTAGGACATCCACCATTCTATGAGTCTGCTGAGTATCTCACTCAATGGAGGCTACTCTTACAAATTCATCTATACGAGGCATTCACAGTTCTAGAATTTATGATGTTTATTTTTATTCATTTGAAAGGCAGAGAGAAAGATGGATGAGAGAGAGAAGACACACCCATCTGCCAGTTCACTCCTGTAATGGCCAAAATGGCTAGGACCTGGCCAGGCTGAAGCCAGGGACAAAGAATCAGTCCAAGTCTCTCTTATATGAGGAAGAACCTAATTACCTGAGTCATCACTTCCACCTCCCAGTGTCTGCATTAGCAGGAAGCTGGAGGTGGAACCTGAACTTAGACGCTCTGATAGAGGATGCAGGGTGAAGCTTCTGGCGTCTCAACCACTAGACCAAATACGCACCCCATCCAAGAATTTACTTTATTTTTAATAAGGAAAGTTCAATTTTAGGATATAGAGAGTTAGCATTAGAATTACGATTAGCATTGCAGTTAGCATGATTAGCAATTGGAATACAGAGGAAATCGAGAGGTATACACATGTTGAGCTGTAACCCACCTGTCAGTTTTGGAAATTGGTGCTTCATGATTAAGAAAAGAGGAGTGACTGTGGTTCATGTAACTTAAAGTCATGGTAAAGAAAAAAATATCCATAGGAAACTTTCTGAAAGTAAAGGATGATGTCTTATATGTTTAGATACTAAATGTGCTCACTAGGAAATATTTAATTATGTTGGGAGCTAAACTGATCAAACAAATCTAATGATCCTCTTATGTATTTGAAAAATGTGGGCATTATTTAGAATAATGGTTTTAACATTGCACAAAGCTTGCAGGAAAGGAATTTACAGGGAAGCTGGGATGTGGGTCCTCGCATGCTGCAGAACTGGCAGTGATGAGTCTGTGCTGTGTGGCCCATGAGCAGGAGCAGGGTTTGGACCAGGCAGGATCAGTCCATCCTGTGCACCCTTGCACAGCCCAGGCCTCCATGGTGGCTTCCACACAAATGCACCTGCCATGGAATTGTGGCCAGCTTTCAGCTCCATGCAGTCTTCAGTGAGATTACTGGACGTTAGTCCTGACTGGGAGTGGATCCCATAAGCTATAATCATCAGGGCTATGGAATTTTGGAGTGTAAACTGTCTTCTTGATTTCTTTTTTCCCTAGCTCTGAATGTTTTGTGCTAGGTTTCATGGATTTTCTTGACAACAATTCTATCATCATTTACAATGTGCCTTGTTTCCTTACCCTTGTGAGTTTTCATTCATGGATTGCAGTAAGACCTATGGGGAAACCCACCCAGCTGCAGCGATCCTACTGCTTGCCCCTTCCTGCATTCCAAGTTCAACTTTGATCATCTCTCAAGAGTCCAGACATGGACTGTCTCACACCACCAGAGAGTCTTCTCTGCTCTCGGCCCATGCTCAAGCCCAGGTCTTCCTCTGCCTGCCTTTTCTGTGGCCAGTGTCAACACTGACACTAATCCAGAGGACTCCTCTGCCTTGCAGTTTTCCTGCCTTGAAATGATCAGTGACACCTACTGCGGGCTCCCTGGCTGTGGAGTGGTGCGGTGAGAGGGCCTGCAGTGCTGAGTCTCCCCTGGGTGCACATTGCTCACCTTGCTCTGGTTTAGTCCACGTGAAAACAGCCAGGGAATGTTCCAAACAATTCTGTGCCTGTATTCAAGAAGCTGCTTCTGAAACGCTATGATAGGCGCACAGTAAAATAATGTAGAATCAGATGAACCGAGTTCTTCTCCTGGTCGTGACGGTGATCAATTCTGTAGCACTGGACTCCCTGCAGACTCTCTGAGCCTCAGTGTCTGTTTCTGTTAGGTTGAGACAATAACACATTCAGAGCTGAGCTAAGGATTAAATAAGAAATGTGTAGTACAGGTGAAATATTTGTTTCATATTATACATATTTATAATACAAAGTAAAATGGTGGTGTTATATAATCACATGTAAATTATCTCAAAACTATTGGTAAATGTGTGAGAATTCCCAGCCTTTCACTTAAGGAAGGCACACTTCTCCTGAAGTGTGTGGAGTTGAGATGTAAGTGTCTCCCGCTCAGCAGGCCTGTGAGCCCAGTGAAGCCCCATGAAGCTACAGCAGCTGGGCTCTGCACTTCCCTCCTTGACCTGCAGCAAATGGCATTTAGTGGAAACTCTCAGAAAAATGTCTGTCTTGCAACTAAACTTGTAGAAACTCCAAATGTCTCTGAGGAACACAGATTTGCTTGCTCTGCAAATGGTGAGGACATAGAAAAGAAAAAGCTATTGGGTAAAATACCCATGGGTTTTAAAGCCTGCCTTCCTTCCTTCCTTCCTTCCTTCCTTCCTTCCTTCCTTCCTTCCCTCCAATTTATTTATTTATTTGAAAGGCAGAGTTACAGAGAGGCAGAGACAGAGAGATGTTTTCCATCTGCTGGTTCACTCCCCAGATAGCTACAATGGATGGAGCTGGGCCGACCTGAAGCCAGGAGCCAGGAGTTTCTTCCAGGTCTCCCACACAGGTGCAGGAGCCATCTTCCACTGCTTTCCCAGGCCATAGCAGAGAGCTGGATAGGAAGTGGAGCAACAAGGACTCGAACCGGCACCCGTATGGGATGGCGGCACTGCAGGCAGCGGCTTTACCCACTATGCCACAGCGTCAGCTCCTAGAGCTGTCCTTCAGGCTTACTTAAAATGCTCATTGTTTCCTGAGACTGCGCGTCCACAGGAAGCAGCACATGGATACCACCCTGACCTGCACAACTTTCTCTCCTGTTCTGCCCAAGGGGCAGGTTGGGTTAGATCAGGATGGCGCCCATTTCTTCCTCCCACTCACTACAGTCTGAAGTCAGGACATTGTCCCTGCACAGGACGGTGATGATCCCTGACACTGTCCCTAAATGAAGTGACAGGTGTGAGGGCAGCTGTCACCTGCCTCTGCGTGGCCCAGTGCTGCCTGCACTAGTAGCTGCTCATGCACCTTGCTCCTGGCCCTGCCCATCTGCTCAGGAGCAATTTTCTTCCCGTTAAACGTCCGACCCTCCGTGGGATGGATGAGACGGTACACTTGCTCCTCCTCTCCGTGCCACATTGTGCTGCCTCGTTCCTGTCTGCTTCTCCTGCAAATTTGTTGCTGAAATCCTGGAGCCCAAGTGTTCACCCGGGTGAATCTTCACAGTGTCCATTGTAAAATGCCGCGTCATCATTTCTCAGGTTCCTGCAGATCCAGCTCTTCCATATGGAACACACTGGGGCCAGGCCCTCTCTGCTGTTACAACAGTCTGCGTGCTGCTGACTCCGAGCCCGCGGAGACTCACAGTGGAGTTTTTGCATGGGGATCTCAATTCAGCTCAGAACACACTAGTGCGACTCTGAAACTAGATACACAGTACGTGTTCCTGAGTCTTCTCTGGGTTGTCTTTATTCTGCTCAGTATTTCAACAATGGGCTCCTTAAGAGCCTAGGGTGATTACTGAGGCCATAAACAAGAGTGTCAATTTGTTAAGTCAACAACAGGAGTCACTGTGCACTTACTCCTCATGTAGGATCTTTGTCCTTAGTGTGCTGTACATTGAGATTTAATGCTATAACTAGTACTCAAACAGTATTTTTCACTTTATGTTTCTGTGTGGGAGCAAACTGTTGAAATCTTTAC